AATTTCGCAAAAATGACTAAATACGTAATTGGTTGCCAAATTATTATTTTTAAAAATTCTAGAGGTTTTGAGGTTTAAAATGTGTATTTTGTTATTAAAAGAATATCGATATACAATATAATTATAGTGAAATGTAAAAAAACAACAAAAAGACATTTGCTTCTGTTTCTAGTACTGTAACATAGTAATTGAAAAATGTATTTTTTTTAATATTTAATATTTGCTATAATTAATTGATACAAATATAAATTAATAATGATCAGTTATAGCAAAATATAAAAGATTCTGTTTTTATTTTTTTTATTACAAGATAGCGCACTCGTACAACTCGAATTTGTATATTCTTATTGGTATTTGTTTGAATCGTTACTTAGAAAAGAGAAAATATTAATGCAAAAAAATATCGTTATCTTATACATGCACATGTATCAATACAATGTCGCACAAAGTACGTATCGATGAAATGAATACGTAACATTGTTTTTCTTGTGAAACGAGGTTTTTTGATATTCTAATTTTCTCAAGTCGCTTCCAGAACACACTTGGTGATAACTTTAATTTATGTAAAGGTAGGCTATTAATAGGGAGGGGGTAAAAAAATCTTTTTTTAGGATTAACAAAGTCTGACACAATCGTAACGGTAAAAATAGCAAACCATATTTTTTGGAAATGATCTTAAAAATGGCTATCACTATGTAATAACGATAAATCGGAGACAATATCAAACTTGAAATTTTCGCAAACACATCATTCTATCATACCACTTATCGAATCCTCTTTATTATACTAATTAGAATTTATCACCACTCGCATGATAAATCCACTATTATATAAAGAAAAATTTGTGGTAATTTTACAAACGATTTTAGAGACTAAAATCCTCTTTGGGCCAAATATCAATATTAAAAGAGGGATAAATCGTCATCTTGAAAAAGCTAACTAAATACTGACGACAAATAAGACAACAGCCAAGCCAGAATTCAAGAAGCTAGCCAACGATAATGTCCCACGTCAACGACAAAACCTCCACGTCCACTTACACTACATCGCACGTCTCTTCCTCAAATGCCGCAGCATCCACTTCAAAATCCTCAAACACCGGCAAACAAAAAACGAAACAGTCGCTACAGCAACCACCACCGACCAAAAGAACTTATACATTCGTTGAGCTGCTCGCTCTTCGACTTTCGCCAATGTGCCGTGAAATTGAATGTAGATTCGCGCCGGATGCGTTGTACATGGACATCTTGTCTTCACAAATGGATCCCGAAGAATTAGAATATAATTGGCGCTCTGCACAAGGTGATATCGTCGCGAATGAATATTTCGTAGTGCCAGGACGTCGTCTTAGAACTAATGACAAAATGATGGAATTGGGGAATTTAGGTTTTGTGAATGAATTAATTAGAGCGCATAATCGATGGATTGCGTTGCTGCAAACTCGTGGAAGTTTGAAAAGACAAGATGACGAATACAAAAAGGAGAGTGTGTTCGGTTGCAAGAAGAGTGAATGGGTTACAGATCATATGAAGAAAACCTCACATGAAGATGGTTGTGTCGCTATTCAAGTTTATCAACAGCAGCAAATTCAGGCAAAGAACCAGAATTGAAAAATTGGCATCGTCATTGTTTGAGTTTTTTTGAACTAATACATATTTTTGATGTTAGATAATAGTAAAGTGACACATGTACTGTAATTCCTTTGAAATTATTGTGATACCCAAATCTTTATAACAGCAATCCTAAAATCAATTAGTATCTCTTTTCTTTAATATTGATATGTAACAACTAAATGGTTTACAATGATTTCATGAAAACTGCATGCAAGCTGATCGTAAATTAATACATACGTACATGTAATAACCACCACGAAGTTGAAATCCACATTCGAGCAATAAAATCAATCAATCATTCCAATCAAAAAATTATTTGATTTACATGTACATGTATAACATTGATGATCTTTTCCATGTAAAGTCATTAATTTGTCTGCCTTTTGTCTCGCAAAAAATCCTTTTTTCTCCATCCTAATCGAAAATTAATATTCTAAATCAAATAATAATAACTAATAGTAAAATGTTGGAAGCACGACCAAACAACGCAGGCTTGATAAAAAAGATAGTTACGTGCATCAACGAGTTAGTGTCTGAAGCTAACCTCGATGTCACCGAATCCGGAATTTCGCTTCAAGCGATGGATTCATCACATATCGCATTGGTATCGTTGCTGTTGTCCAAAGAAGGATTTGACCCATATCGATGTGATCGAGGGTTTACGTTGGGCGTAAATTTAGCCTCTTTGAGTCGAATCTTGTCGTGTGCTGGCGATGAAGATGCTATTACTTTTACGTGTGATGATACCGCGGATGTTATGAATTTGAAATTTGAGAGTAGAGGTTTGATCGGTTCTTGTTTTTTTTATCGTTTATATATTATTGTTAACAATGATTTAAATTCATCGAAATAAAGATGGTAATAAGGTATCCGAATACGAGCTAAAATTGATGGATATTGATCAAGAACATCTTGCTATTCCCAACCAAGAATATCCATGTGTTGTTAGTTTGCCATCGAGTGAATTCAGCAGAATTTGCCGTGATAATTCAAATTTTGGCGAGGGAGGCAAGTATGCTTATTTATATTGAATTGATTATTATAAATATTGATTTATCCTCTTATATATTGCTTTGAATAGTAAAAATTTTCGTCACAAAAGGAGGAATCAAATTTTCCACTAGTGGAGAGACTACTAAAGGAAATGTCACATTAAAGTCGACGGTTAGTGAGGTTTTTCCTGATTAAAATAAATACATTTTGATATTAAACATAAAAAAATCGACATTTTTTTATTAAACCGCGAACAAAGGACAACGAAATCATCTCGTTAAATGTCAAGAAACCAGTTGAAAACGAATTCGCACTTAAGTGTCTATTACAATTCTCAAAAAGCCAAAAGTTAAGTGACCATGTTACTCTGTATCTGGCGAACGACCTTCCAGCAATGGTCGAGTACAATCTGGAGGCGGCGGGATATGTCAAATATTTCCTTGCACCTAAACTGAACGAGGGCGGTGATGGTGACGAGGAACAGGCAGTTGATGAGGATGAAGATTAAGGACAAAAATTAGAATAACGATAACGATCGATAGAGATAGGATTGATTGACTGTTGGTCATTATGTAAGCGATAGCGATAGTACAAATTTCCATTTATATCCAACTTTATCTTGTGTTTCTTTTTCTTGTACATGTACTTGTACAATGTTTATGAAAAAAAAATACGTATTCCATGTACATGTACTATCCATATAACAATGGCAAATAGCGATAGTACAAATAACGATAATAATAATGACAGTTGCAATTTTTTTGCTACGAAAACAATGAATATTAATACTACTAGTAGTAATATTAAGAAATCGAGAGCAAAAACAAGCAAAAATAATAACCGGTATATGGATTTTCTTCTAAGTTGATCGTATAAACACATATTTATATGATGTATTTCTGCATTAAAGTTGTCGTCGTCTTCCGCGAGCGATTTCCGCACACGTTGTCATGGACGATAATACAGAGCTGTTTCATATTCATTTTAAAGGTAAATTAAAGTTGCTTGATCCTTCTTTGTGTTTTTTTCCTCATTGTCTCTCTTCAAAAAGACACGACAATGGCACCAGTCTGGCGTACTTTAGACCCAGAAAACGATCGTCTCCAGCGTATAGCGAACAAGTTTCTTCGTCAGCATAATTGCACCAGTGCTTGTCAACCTCCCGCAACAACGACAACAAATTCAGGACATTCACAGCCAAAATCAAAGCATCATTACTTTTATTATGATGATGACAATGATAAGGGTAATAGTGTGCAAATAGAACATGAAGACAATGATGTGGACTTAATTAGTATGGGATTGGAAAGTATGGAGATTTAATTCTTATTTATCTATTTTTGATTTATCGATATTGTTTGAAATTAGAAAGTTTCTTTTATTGATAAATTATTTTTGGTGATGAATTGGTAAAATATTTATCTTGATCGGATCAAATCTACATTTTTTTTCAAATACTCGCATAGTACTCTACTCATATAATTAACCTGTCTCGATGAACTGTGTAACGGTAACTTAACGTTAAGTTCTGATTCTAGCGTTAGCACGATCAAATCAAACACATAATGTCATCAGCTCGCAATTATAAAAAAACGAATAAAGTTTTACAACTTTGAAGAATTTACAAATAAAGAAATAGTTGGTAGAGGAGCATTTGGGGAAGTGTCAAAAGCAGAGGTGATAAATAATAATTTGACGGTTGCGCTAAAAGGGTTCTGGATAACAGACGGAAAAAATAAATAAGGAATCAAAGAGGTGGCTAATTAGAGCTCGGAACCGCGGTTTTTGTTTACAAGCATTGCTACGGACAATTTTCTGTCTGTATTGTTTGTTACTTCTATCACTGTGAGCATAACACTAGGTTATATTGTATTTTGAAAAATTTCTTTTACTACATTAAGTGCAAATGTTAATTAAACTGGCAAAGTCATAAACTCAAACATACTTTTTCAACAGATATAAAGCTGATCATTCTATTTTTTTTTACTAAAGTATGTTATAATAATCTTGATATAACGATAAGAAAAAATAATAATTGCATTATTTCCTTATTTAAACTATCACAGTTCCTAATCGTTATCGTTATTATTATCGTTATATGGAAGAAACTCTCTTTTGTATGCTCTAAATAGCGTTACAGTAGTTAGAAAATGAAGAAACCACTTTTGGTCGTTGCGGTTGTGCTACTAATTCAAAACACAATTAGCATCGATTCAAATAAATCTATCGCTATCGCTATGGTCTCTAATGTTTTAGACTGACTAATTTAGGTATCGTTATCATTTTTTTTGTAGTCTCATAACTTTTCCTTACAAGCTCGAAATCCATTTTGCACCACCACATAATAACGAGTTTAAGAGTTAGTAAAAAATAATAATAAATAATGATTTCATACAAATTGACACTTGGAGAACCTAACGCTAAATGTTTGAGATAATTTTGATTAATATGATATTTCAATATGATTTGTATTTCGAAATTAAATATCTGTATCATTTGGGATTGAAATAAATGTTTGAGTAAAGATTCGACTGGTGTAAATTGATTTTTTTTGTTTATATTTGAATGCTTTTTTGCAATTTCATTTCCTCGTTCAATTTCTTCTAATTTCCGACATTCTCGTCTAAGACACTGAATACGTAATTTCTTCATCTATTTTAAGATATTGATATTATAAGGAACTGTAGTACTGAAATGCAAAGGGGTCAGTTTTATGTTGTCCACAGGATAGGACGGATCGTGGGTCGTTCTCCTTTACATATGTCAATTACAATATCTATACCATGACTTCGCTCACCGAATGGTCGTTCACCTGTTAAAACTTCGAACACAATCACCCAAACCTATAAATACCTGCAGCTTTAGTGTATGGCTTCCCATCTGGGCTAATATAAGGAAGGACTCCGTAAATTTCTCGATTAGATTTATTAATATTTGTTCGGCTGGTAAGTTCAAACTCAGTAATTAGAGTACTCGATACGTGTTAATATATTTCCGGGGTGAAAGTCACGATGCACAATTCTCTTAGTGTGAATCATTAGCAGCCCCGCGATAATATAAATTAAATATCTTGACTTTCCTTTCCAATTCTTCGTATTTGGAATTAATATATTTGCGACTGCATATTCCACTACCATCGTGTAGTCATTTGTAACTGGGTTTTTATTAACATATTCAGTTGCAATCATCGCAACCCTTTAGAGCGTTCTGAATCTATCTAAAAAACGGGTTAGAAACAGAAAACAACCTGTTTACGCTCTAGAAAATGTTTATTTTTACCTCGTTTATAAACTCTATGTAATTTGCTTTGAACCGCGTAATGATTTCAATAAAACTTCATGCTCTTTAAATTGTTTAAATTTATTTTCTCCAATGATCCACACAGAAATAATGGTCCATCCAAAAAATGTTTTAATTTTCATGCATTCTCTTATTAGACAGTCGATATCTTTATTTTCGCTAGACCATTCAACTTCATAAAATTGATAGTGATATTTAAAACATTTATAGCAGTCTTCATTTTTTCGACAACGAGTACATATACTCTAATGATGGAACCTTCTCCAGGTAGCTTTGATTATCTTTTTGAGTTTCATTTTATGAATATGATTTTAATGATTTCGATGATTTTGATTATGAAATTAATCGCTAATATATCGATGTGAACGGACAAGTTTATGTATCGGTATATAACGATAACAATACCGATACAATTTTACTGTACATGTATTTACGTAATTATTCAAACATGCATTTTAACTTCCATTTGTCACAGAAATGAAGGGATCAGTATGAAGAAAATGCTATTACGTGTATTAGTGGATAACGATAATGACAATAGTATGTACTCCACGGCGTTAACTAAGATTCTGCGTCTCTACATTTTCATATATGCGTCGAAATTCTTCAAAATAATAACAATGAAAAACATTTATCGCTATTAATTGAATACGTTGACTGATCGAAAGATTGATTATGTTTGGCTTTGGCTGCCATTGTGTTCAAGATATATTCGAGTAAAGATAAAATCAGTGTCTTCTTCCACTTTTTCTCTTTTCTAATCAAATTCAAATTAAACAAACAAAAAAAACAGATTTTTTTGTATCATATCGGATACAAAAAATCCAGTATCCTGATGTCACGTTACCGGTGCTCCACGCAACACGACTAGACGACTAGACTACTAATCAATACATAACGATAATAATACATGTAATAGCGATAGTACACACTATCGCTATGAAATTCTGCTCCATGTACTGTTGCGTACTACTATTTTAATTAGTAAAAGGGGAATTTTTACGTAACTGGGGTGAAAGCTAGACTGAATTATTTACGGTTAAAGGGTTTCTTTGGATGTTCTAAAGGTTTCCTTATGACGACTTGTTCGCAAATCGATCTTTTCTTAATAATAAAGAGGATTAATAATATTTAATAATAATAACAATAAGGGTTTCTCCAAAATCTAATCGACAATAGTAACACAATAGGACTTATTGACGCGACCTATTCAATAAAATAATTAAAAAAAAAAAGAAAATAAAATGAATTCAACAAGACTTATTGGTACGGCTTCGCCAAAGAAAATAAAGTCAACAAATGACGATTCACAAGAAAACAACGGCTTATTTAGAGTGGAGGAGCATCCACTACTTGCTAAT